CGTAACAAATATGTGATTATACTTAAAAGGAGACTTCAGAACCATAAATAAACATAACGAAGGAAGATTTGTATTTTATTTAAATACATTTATAGCAATGTTCTTTCTCCACTAATTTATTATCATTACTTATGTTGAAAACGAAATGAAAAATAAAGATAAGTACATGCAACTGAATACCAAAATAACGAAAGCGGCGACAAATGCATGGCATGGTTTAAATAGTTATGGTGTCCTTAATTAGAATAAATTTGTATGGTGCAACAACTCGATCTCTCTTATCTATGCTTGCTGTATAAAGGGACCGAAACAATTTTGATTGATTCATTCAACATACCATAAAAGATTGAAGTGCATTTTTATAAGTGCATTATAATTTATACGGGAATAGTGCACCATTTAAAAGCATCTCGTATACAATTAAAGTTAGACATGCAGGAAGATGACAAACATGATATTAGATACTAATATATATTATAAAGAGGAAAGACTTATATATTTGTAAAATATAAACTCAAAAACTACTGGATATTTCAAAAATTCTTTCACCATTGGGATGCTATATTATCCCTGAGTAATATAAGTTATATTTATTATTGGATAAAATTAGGGATCTCTACTAAAATAATAATGTAACCCAATTTGTAAAAATATTCTCGATAAAACGTCTTTAAACACATGCGCTGCGAAATCTTTTGATGATAGAACAAAAAATGTTCCACGATCTTAAAGATCATATTACATAAAAAACTTCCCAATACCATATGCTTAAAAAAGTACACCCGTGCGTAGCCGGGACGGACCACTAGTTGAAATATAATAATAGTTGTTATATTGTAAATAATTACATTTATATATTTATTCTTATAAATGAAAAATAAAATGTGGATGTAAAATTAGTGCGAAGTACTCTTAACATCACTTTATTTTACATTTAAAATATAAAGTTCCTGTACATAGCCAATTTTGCGAACATTTATATGACAATTAATTAATTAGGTGGAAATTAAATTTAATTCTTACTAAAGTAAAAGTTTAGTTAGTTTAGTTCAGTTGTTGTTATTGTCACCTCTTGGTGCTATAACGGGTAAACCAATCGCCATGAAAATTGGAATACACGACTCTTTAGGATGTAGAAAGATATAGAGTAAGTACTATATTAATTTAGTATACGGAAATTGTAGGTTTAACTAGTGAAGTGCTATTAGTTGATGTCGGAATAATAAAGAAAGCCGCGATATGGAGCGAATATTGTATTGCTAGCAAGTAAAAAGTTTACAATCAGACGTGGTTATAAGGAGAGAATAGGGATGTTTGTCTATACATAGAATTTACAATTTTACAGATTTGATAGTATTGCCACCTGCAAAATTAAGAATATTTGCATTACATTGCCAGATGCAAAATAGAAATAATGTTAGCTTCTAACATCTAGTAAAAATACTTAGAAGTCGCTAGTAAAAGCAAGTAATAATATAAACAAGTAAACTACATTCGAAAGAAAATCTACTCGTGTCCGATACAAGGAAGTTGATTTTAAACACGTATTTTTGTTCACGTAATCGTTCTTATTTCGACTATAATCACCTTTAGATCAGTTTAGAGGTTTTAAATATATTCGTTTCGCTATCACTTTACAAACTGTTTCATTTTTAGACAACAAACGTTCTCTTTTATCTTCGAAGTTTTTAAAGCGAGAAATGAAATAATTAATTTATAAAGGTATATGTGAAAATTACAGGAAAAATAAAATTTCTAACTAGTATTGTTATTAAGAAATTTAGTTATGCAAACTTTGTTATGCGGCCTACTTTTTTTACTACAATTATGCCTCAAAATAAGAAATTCCGAATTGTAGTATCAATTATAACGATTATGTACATATTTCGTATGAGAAATGCAATAAAGATAATTTTATCTTATATACGGAACAAACGGCGTGTGAGTTCAACTCACACCTGATCGGATTTATAAAATAAAAAAATAAAAAAACTATTACTGATTCAAAATTAAAAAGTACACAGGATAACCAATACAAGGTAGATATGTCTTAAGAATAAGAAATAAAATTCTATTTCAGGCTCGAGATGTATCAGTAACTAATATAGCTATAAAAGGGATAGATGGGAACTGATATCGATCGTCTATTATTCCCTTAACTATCAATAGATGAGTAATAATAAATAGCACTGACCCCGAAAAGTGTCATCTAATGTTTGACTTACGATATGTTCACTACCTACAGATAAAATTACCTAATCACCCGCTACACTTTCGATATGCCCTTATTTTTATGATTTACCGAATTTATTGCCGTAACTCAAATATGGTGTATATGTTTGAAAGGTGGGATAGGGCGTGAATTTACAGGGTATAAAGGAATAACACCTGAGTCCTCAGGAATGGCAACGCATGGGGGGTATCATGGGCGAAATAGTATACTCTGTTATGTCTATGGTACTGCTTATGTCTATAGGCGACGGTTACCACTTTCCATCAGGTGGGCCGTCAGCTTGTTTGCCATTCTAAGTTGTATAAAAAAAATATCAGATGTACCCTAAAACTTAGTTTATATAAAAATGAATTCAGATATGTTAACAAATAGTCTGTTATTAAAATAAGCGGCGCCCGTAACTTTTACCGCGTAATATTTATATATCTGTCTAGTAATAGTTATGGTTAAGTCACATACTAAGAATCAGATAATAAAAGAATAAAGACGCCAGGAATAGAAAAATGTATTACACCGAACTGTTTGCGATAATGTATGAATGTATCAAATAGAATCCAATTTGTCAAATTTGAAATTTTCTTATAACAAAACTAATTTAAAAATATATATTTCTTTTTGAAATTACAAATAAGCTGTTGTTCCACCTAATAGAAGGCTCTCCCTTCTGAAGGGAAGAAAGGGGAAAGGAGGGCAGAAAGGGATTGTTAGTAATGGGGGTTAATAACCGTATTGCTAGCAATACACCTTGTCAAGGCGACCCCCTCGCTGTTACCTCTGGAAACCACCATGCTGAGTTCTAAGTCAATTCATCACGATGGACTAACTGACCTGTCTTTTCATCCTCACTTATCATCCCTCAAGGGTTCCCCGCCAGCGTATATCGTTAGCACAAACAGGATTACCATTATTATTATTCATTAAAAAAAAATGGAAAGTGCTAAATTTCGCCTATGAACATGTCTATCGCAGAATACACTGTGACATCCGTGGCACCCCATACAATTTCCTGAGCGCATTGCTCCAAAAAAATATACATAGTTTGGCGTAACTTAATAACAACAATGAGATCAAAACGTTGTAAAGTAGCGTTTCTTTGTATCTATACTCTATCATACGGGTTGAGAGATTGATAAATAGACAAACAAACAAACGCTATTAAGAAATGAAAATAAATAAGGACTTTTTTAAATATACGATCAACATTATTAAAAGATGGATCCAATTCGTCCGCTTCAACCTGTTTTTAGTTACGCTACGTTGTGAAGGTAGCCATCTATTTTCCGAATAAATTCTGTATTATGGTTCACTATTATGCTTAGCTCCTGTAGGTCACAGGTCAATGTTGTAGGTATACAATGGATATTTTTTGAAGTAATGAAAGTCGTGCTATTAGGTATAGATAGTTAAACAACTGTATAGAACTACTATGACATTGTTTTTCAAGAAGCATCATATCAACAGACGGATAGAGTTTAATGTTTAGATATTTCAAAAACTCGTTATTAAGTTTCTGATATAAATACCAGAAACTTAATATATATGCATGTTAAGGCGAAATCAAGTTGACAAACCGCGCTGGTTAGCGAAACAAATAAGTTAACGAGCTGCGTATAGATCATAAAATAATACTCTGTAAACTCTTCTTATTGGGAAAGATCTTGTCTAGCACTATCATAATCCTTACTAATATAATAAATGTGAAAGTATGTCTGTTTGTTTGTTACTATTTAGCGCCTTGACGGTTTAACCGATCGGTACGAAATTTGTTATGCACGTACTATATGGGTTGAAAGACATCGGCTAGTTTTTATCCCGGTCACGCGGAAGAACTCGTAGGTAAAAGCTAATGAGGTAATAAAAGTATCTAATCTACATCGTTTATGGACATTTTAAATAAGTGGACACACAAAAACACGTACCTCTGCGGTTCCCTCATCAGGAAAGTTTGCTGATCGACAGGTTCTGTTTCCATAATATTTATTTACGTTTTCCGAAAGTACGCATGTACTTTAAGACTACAATTAGAGCACAATCACGTGTAACCAATGTTTATAGTCGTTAAAATTGAAATGTTCTATTAAGAAAGATAACTTATTTGCAAACTCCATTCACACAAAAAATACGTTATCACCCACTTTAATAAGTAAGAGAACACATATTATTTATAATTATTTTAAACTACACGAGTGTCTAAAACGTGGTGTAAGAGGCGAATGTTAAACCGACAAAATTATTTGTGTTAAATTTATACAATAAAATAAGACAGGTTTGGAGGCAAACATTTCGTCATACCTGGTTATGTATTATTCTTATTAATTTATCTTAATTTACACAGATTTGATAGCACGTTACTTTTTGTTTATTACCTACGTAATATACTTAGATAAACACTGAAATCTTACATTTAGTTAAAACACTTGTTGCGTGACCAACTAAATGGATACCTACATTTATTTGTGTATCTCCGTATTCCACTACTTGCAAATATGTATGTACATATACATCGTATAAATAATTTATTGCATTATTATTAAAAAGAGAAAATAATAATAAAGTAATAAAATTTTTCACTTTAGACTTACTGTCTTGTTAATAGAGATAACCGCTTCAAATATATGTAAAAAGACCTAAGAAGATAATTAACAATCACTAAAAAAAGCAATGCAGAAAAATAGGAAAAAAATCAAATATCGCGCGTCGCAAAACACAAGCACAACGTAACACTGCAAATATTTAATTTACGCATAGTGCCAAATAGTAGACTCACCTCATTGAACCCGGCGTGGAGTGTTGAGTTGTGGTTGTGATTTTACGCGGGCGACATGCGGCGAGAATGAAAGTAGAGCGGGTGGCGGGCGTCACGGGCGACAGGCGGATGAGGAGTCGCGGCCGCAGCGTATGCGGTCTACACCCTTTGAGTTGTGATGCGCGGGCCGCAATACACCACCGTCAATTAGGAAGGCGCGAGCTGTCTCGACTGATCACCGATTTGGGAATATGTCGGCGCTCACCTGAGTTGAAGTGAGGTGGACGGAAGTCGAACCGGCCGCTGTTGCGCTGTCGATCGCGGTGCGACTGAGTCGCGCGCCCACCCAACGTTCACTTTTATATGTTTCCCCTTCTCGTAGGGCGTCTTTCCCCGTGAAAGACCTGCGGGTCCAGGATGGTTGTCCGTTCCGTTGACCCGTGACGCTAGAACGCGTCATCCGGCTGTTAAAACATTGTTATCTTGAAAACTTGTCTGCGGGTCAAGTGCACTTAGCGTTTAAGTAGGTTAGCATATAATTATCCATAACGTATAGTTTTTATTTTACCATTTTAAGAAATAATTTAAAAATGAAGAGCAAAAAGAAAATCCAAATTGTCATTATCACATATCCTTATAACTACAGGAAAAATGTGGATTGTGTCTTTCATCTACTTAGATATTTTATAGATTGTCTATGATATAGAAATATATCGGTCACTGAAATATAACTGTTTAACATTTTTTTTAATGTTAGATTTTATTTTTATTTTTAAAACTTATGTACATTTTAAATACATAAATTATAACTGTTATATTAATAACAATTAATTATAACCACTCACTCTTAGGTGGGCAAAAATACCTTCTCAACGACAATAATCTGAAATGTGTTATAGTTTGTAATGTCTCTAATTACTATTCTTGTAAGAGCATTAAAATTGTTTTCATAATGCAAAAACATGTTTATTCTTGTTAGTTTAAGACTATAATATACTAAAATGTTTTATAATTATGAAGTAGAAAAGGCAACTAATATGATTTAACCTCTTAGCATGTATTTACGCTAATAACACAATTAAAAAAAATATTATATAAACTATGGCTCTATAATATTCTTGTCATAAGAATATTGTTATAGCTAGTACAGTGATTATTCTATATGATTCTTTACTTCATCAAACACGCAAATCCGTTCTTTATTGGATGGTTTTATTTGATGTTACAGCAGCATTCAAATTTTTTAATTTTTAACAGCAAACATTGACATTTTCGATTGAATATTTTTCCATTTTATCGCTGGATCACTGGTTTACGTGTTATGTTGCGTATTGGACACTTTTAAACATATAGCTGCTAAAAGAATAGCAAACAATTTAAATATTTTCCTGCAGTATTCCAATACAGGTTCAATAACTGTTAGTAAAACACATCACAAAAGCTCGTCCATAAAGCAGAGATTTATACCGCTAATCTAAAAAGCTATCAAGCATTGGCAGAAAACCAATTGGATACATCGGCCAACCACAGCAGACAACATACACGTGTGTATGTGAAGAAAATTGAACGTTTTTGGAATATAAATTTTATTACCAAAGTACAGTAATAAACCGTTGAATTACTCGATTACTGTCAGAGGGCACTGGGACCTTGTCACAGTCAACTCGTGTTTATCACAAAAGTCAAATTTATAATACTTACATAGGTGTAAGGGCTTTTGCGCTTCTTAAGACCGTCATATATACTTACACATGTATAGCAAATGTATAACAGTTTTTATAATATATAAACAGGTAAATTATTTATATATACACTAATTGCGAGGACCTTAGGATAGGGTGCCTAGGATTTTGTGTTACGACGAATTAGACTACGAACACCGGTTAGATCTATATCTATTTAAAAAATAGTCATTTCTTATACAAATTGTTTCAATTGAGAATCAAATGCGCAACCTAATTTAAGGCGCGTACCATTGCAGCATAGAGATTGTAAATGGAGATTCAAATATTTTATGTATGCTTACACAAATATGAAGTATACATAAAATCAATATCATTATAAAGCATACAAAGCTGATATTTGCTTAAAGCTTTTTCAAATCAAGTTAGTTGTTTATACAATTGAAGACGGAAAATAAGCTCAAGGCGTGTATATAGAAAGTGGTAATCATCGCCTGTAAATAAAAACAGTACTATGTTTGTAATAGATCGTACTGTACTGCCCACGATATCCGTATTTTGGAATTTTACTGCCATATCCTTTCAAACCAAAAAACACTTATTCGGTGGCGAAAACACGAGTGCGATAAAGGATAATTTTTAACTTTCGCTTTGTTGACACATTTTAAATACACTACTATTGGGGGGAAAGGGATTGTTAGCAATGGAGTTTGATAGCCCCATTGCTAGCAATATAGGCATATTGCTAGCAATGGCGCTGTCAAACTCCATTACTCTATTAGGTCGACCTCCACGTGGTTCCCCTGGAAACCATCGTGAACAATTCTTGTTGAATTCGTCACGATGGGCTAACTGACCTACTTCATCCTCACCTATCATCCTTCACTGGTGCCCCGCCTGTGTATACCGATAGCGCGGGTGAGGTTACCATTCCATTATCATCCATTAAAAAAAATACACTACTATTGTTTTAGTAGTAGTCTTAGGCCGTTGATTTTACTTTATGGATCCTAACTTGCACTCTATCCCCAAATATATATACTCAATGTGTTCAATAGAGCAGACATCCCGCCTCCACAATCAAACAAAGAGGACGGGATGCCTGAACAAAATCTACAACATAAAAAAACTACACGACATAACACAGTTAACCGTTCCTGAGGACTCGGGTGTTATTCATTTGTACCCTATAAATTCACTGCCATATCCCATCCTTCAAACCGAAACATAGCCATGCAAACACAACTGCTTCATGGTAAAAACACGAATGGAACAGAGGTGCCCTAGCAAGCGACTTTTGTACAAAGTCTCCCTTTGATATATTATGGTATAGTACAATTATCATTATTATATAGTTATGCCCATTTCATTTGTTTATTGTTCACCGCTGAATATAGGGCTTCCTATAAACTTATATAAGATATAAGACACGGCCCTAAACTAATAATTAAATCTCTGAAAAACATTTGAAGACGTGACTCTGCTCGTATACAGCGTTCGTTTTTCCATATTACTTGTCCGTTTTTCGAAATGGATATGTAAGATATAAAGTAAAAATCGTTGATTATGCTCGAAAAAACTATATATGAAGTTGATATGCGTTACATATCAGCATCCTTATTAACATCTACAGTGACTTCGATGCTCTGGATGCCCTTTGTCCGTCTGCCCTTTGATCTTGCGTAGCGAATGAAGTAATTTGTAAATTTTCTCAAGCAAGTATCATTTATTATATTCTTCTAATGTTTCTACATTTTTTATTAAATTATCATACAGTACACGTTCTACAAAGAATGTTACATTAATAAGCTTTTTAAGCTTTATTAATTACTTCATTTGCATAATAAACAATTTGAGAAAAGTAGGTCACCATCTTAACTAAGGGAAGTGGCAATTAATTCCAACACTTAATGAAAAACTCAACACATTATTAGTATCCATATTGTCTCATTTTTAAGATTTGTTCTCATTATATATATATATATATATATATATATATATATATATATATATATATATATATATTATAGGTTAATTCTACATTAATGCATGTCTATTATGGAAAATCTCATTTAAAACTGTTTGGTTGTTTAATTGTTATTCAGTAACAAATATCAAAATTGATATATATAATAGTTTATTTCCAAGTAAATAGTAAATATTATTATAGTATATTTTATATATACAAATAGTATACATTGGATTTATTTGTGTTTTCGTAACTTCCTTCAATATATTTGACGCCAGTTTATACTCTACTAGTCCTACAAGTCCCAAACTCTTTCTCATACTTTATTTCTATCTAATTTTAGTATAAGTATAGTTTAGTGTTTTGCAGACCATGAAATTTTAAATGGTGGACAATTTTATACGAGGATCCAAAAATAAATATCCTTATAGTTAATTATTTTTAAAAATATATATTTTATAAACGAGTACAACAAAGAATTCTGCAATATGATATCAATCATTTTCGTATAATAATATCGCATATAAACTGCTTCCCTTTTTCGTATCTAAGGTAGAAAGTACCATCACAAGAAATGTACTGTGATTATTACCTCTAATACTCATATCCGGCAGAATTCTGTTCCAATTTCACACAATTCCTGCCATTTGATTGGCTTTCGGTTTGAAAATATCTATAAATATATACAGGTATGTTTGGTTTACGAGTTCACCCTTGATAAAGTAATAAAAACATCCCTAGTAAATATTGCAGTTGTTATATTTCAAATAGACAATATTTTATATATTAGATATATTTGTCTTAGTTTAATAATTTAGAAAAAGTAAAAATAATCAAATTCGATTATGTAATTTAATCTATATTTTATATTATAGATGGTAAATAAGTAAATACAATATTACCACTAAATCCACTATTTTTAGAATATTGAGATTTATATAATCAATTTCTATTATCATCTTGCTAGAAATAATGTCAAAGGGTCTGCGATAAGATAATTTTGTTAATTGTCTAAAATCGATTAAAAATTTGCAGAGATTATTATGGAGTTTGTCAGAAAAAAGTTTGTTGGTAATTGTGATGACTAGTGGATAATTGAAATTTGGTTTAGACTACATTAGTGCTTAGTGAATAATTCTCCCGGAGGAATTCTTTACTTATCATGGATAAGTAACGGTTGAAAATATTATAGGATTAGTGGATATCATTACCATGAGATAATATGGATGATCATATTTTTATAATTTTAATAAAAAAAAAATATTTTAATAAGATACTATGTATACAAAATATTTATCATCTATTAGTAATAATCTGTTAGCGTTTCTGAGCTACTAAGCCTAGGTCTCTTTTCATTAGATGAGATTATTAGCATATTACAATCACCATTTTGTCTAAGGTGGCTTAATATTGATATGATACAGGGTTTTACTTCGAGGCTTACTTGTTCTGTACTATTTATTGTGCTTTGAGCTATGTCGTCACACTTTTATATACATAATTATAATTTTTACTTCATCACCACACTGACTTGTTAATTTGACGTCTTCATATGTGGGGAAATTCCAGTTTTTCAAACATAAAAAATAAATTTATACAATTGAAGATAAACAAAATTACAATATTCCTCCATCTAAATCAGAGCGGAGAGTTTACAAATATTATTCAAATGTATTAATTTCTCTCTTGAAAG